TTGTATTAAGCTGTTATGCAGTCAGACATTTAAGATTTTTAAATGTAATGGTACAAATTTGTGCAATTACAGCAGTGAAATATGAGAGATTTACTAAACTGAAAATAAGTAATTGAGTTTAAATTTAAATAATATTAATGCTCTACATTAATAGTTTTTACGTTTTGTGAAAGCTTATATAATAAAATTACTTATAAGAAAAGAAATTAAAAATGCAAAAAACAAATTTCCTAATTATAAATTTGTAATAATTGCTATCATATCTGTTAAAAATTTTTATTACATATTAAAATGACTATTACATTTGAGTCTAAGATATCTTAAAGATATCAAATTTCTAATTATAAATTTGTAATAATTGCTATCATATCTGTTAAAAATTTCTATTACATATTAAAATGACTATTACATTTGAGTCTAAGATATTATCTTGAAATGTTTAATTTTGAAAAGTTGTATACAATTCTACCATTTTACTAAAAATATATCGTAATATCGTAATTACTTTTTATTACTAACATAGCAGTATTATTTAGAAGACTAAATAAAAAGAAACCGATACATCAGGAATACGTAAAAATGCATTTTGTGCTATTGTCGTTATTATGTAACATGTATTGAAAATTCTCTGTACGTTCTCCCGATTTTTTTATTGCCGATTCCTTGATTTCAGTTACACAGGTATGTAAATTATATTATATGTTTCTATTGATCGATCGGTTTATATTATATTTTACAAGAATAAAATCGATATATGTAAATATCCATACTAAACTACTTTTCGAATTTTATCTTGCGGTCCTAAAATTGTTATTTCTTTTTAAAAATCTTATCATCCAATATTGTATTTATTACACTATTTGAATATTTCCTACCCTTATAATTTTTCTCACCACTCTATTTGTTAATTCTTTCTTCTTGTGCTTTTTGTATGATCAATTTTTACATTTGTCTGTCACAGTGACTCTTTTTCCGGCAGACGATAAACATTGACAGCATATGACATTACAATGCATCTTATAATTCTCAAACTATGATTTTGGCAAGTTTTCAGGTATACATTTTATTTCTTATTTAAACTCTTTTAGTCTAAATTTTTTATATCATGTAGCGTTTTTTACTTCCAGTTCAATTTTATTTTTTGACCTCAATTACATAATTTTATGTACATTCAGCTTTGATCATATGACATCTCTGCGTGCATTTAAACATTGTACTAAAAATGATCAAATCTTTGATCAAAATGTCTAATTAATTGAATCAATTTCAAAATTTTTTGTGATTTATGGTAGCTGAAAGAATAGTAGGAAGTGGTGAATATTTCTCGAGATATATCGCTTAACATAACGTCCCAATTTAGGAATTCAGATATTAATTTACGCTTGATGTGAATAATTTATTAAATTATAAAGTAAAAATATTTTTAAATATATCGATACGTATAGAGTAAATAAATGTTTTATTTTAAAATTGGTCATTTTTTCTGTTTTTAATAATTGCTTAAATTATGATATCAATATAATATAATAAAAACAACGCTTGTAATATGATATCATTATGATAGAATCAACTTTTAATTCATGTATGACAGCTTTGCTTTTAAACCGTCCATATAAACAATTCAACGTAAATATAAATATATTACCTCTCCCATTACTTCTGATATTTAAAATTTTTTGACGTAAGCATACAAACATTGAAAATATTTTATTTTATATTATTTTATTTTTGACAAAAATTATTTTCTTGCAAGTTACATTACACTTGCCCAGATATATTTTGTATTTCGGAGCTAATTCTGTTCTCATCATCGACTATAAGGCACTTCTAGTTGTAAAGCAATTTTCTGTAACTTCTTTATTGAAAATCAAGAAAGACAAATATCTGGTCCAACAAAAATTTGCAGTGTAAGAAGGAATAATTAAATTAAATAAATATTATTTAAACCGACGCACACCGATGAGTCCTAAGTTTCCGACTTTTCTTACGTACTCGACTCTTCGATTTTTAATTTTTTTTGAACAGCATCAACTAATCGCTCTTCTCTCAAATTAACTTTCGCAAATTCAAGCACCTAGGACAAATTATTTTGACAATATCAATAAACGTAAAATTTTTGCGCAGTACAGTTTATGAGTGCATTAATTACTGCGTTAAAAGTAATCGGATCGGATATGTCATGTACAAAAAAATCATAAAAATAAGCTCAATATTAAGTAATAAAGAAATGAGTGTTATTTAAGTCAGAAAAATATACCTTAACCAATTGCTTTACAGCATGTTGGTGCGTAATAATGACAATTATTGTCGCAATTATGTCGGATTGTCTGCGAAAAAGTAAGGTGATAAATATTATTATTTAAACCGGCAATAAGAATAAAAAAGACGCGGGTAGATAAAAATTATAAATATTAGAAATATATATACATATAAATAAATATAGATATATAATATTATATAAAAAAATTATTATTACGTGTTGGAGGTGAACATAAGTATATTTTTATTGAGATTTTGCAATATAAAATTGCAAACTGTATCGTTGCTTGCATGTCTCGCAACGGTAAGAAGAAATATGTGAGCACGTGTATTGTTGCGTTGTAATAAATCATTATTATCCGAAATCACCTGTATATAATTAGAAACAACTAAAGGACCTTCACTGCAAGTTAAATATTCTAAAATTTTTGTATCATCAAGTGTTGCTGTCCATTTGTACCATACAGCGTACCAAATGGACTTTTCCGCTGACACCAAACCATTACAATACATCCATCGTTTCCATTCCGATTGCGTTACAGAGCTGCGTTACCAGAAAAAAGTATTTCTTGCAAAAATTTACCTCATTTTATGATAAAATAATTTATCTAGTACAGTATTTGATGTATAGAATATAAGTATACGTAATGCAACAGAAATTGTTTATGTGAATACTGTGATTGTAAATCACTTATTCTTACGTCGCACTTTCAGAATGTAGATCTCTTGTCATTCGCTCATTGGCTACTTCTCTACATTTTTTGTTACCAATAATACATGCCCATTTTACGGCTTCCTCTCTTAAACATTTTTTGAGCTTGTTTTCATATGGTTTTGACACGTATCCTATTTGATTCAGAACTCCACTCAATATTTTTTCCATCTTTTCCTAAAAATTGGTAAGTAATATAAATTTTAACCTACTGCTATTTATAAAAGATATGTATGTATATTTATATATGTACACATATATTATAACTTGTTTTTTATACAAAATAATTTAAAACAACGTGTTGGTCTTGTAATATCATATTCTTAAGCGATTTCTGACACGATTTTTCTTGTTGCGAAATTTTGTCCAAAACTTAGTTTTTGAGTTTTAATTGAAAAGTTGATAGTTCGTTACTTGCACTCACACACATTATGACTGCAAGGTATTACGTTACTCTTTTGATGAGTTACACAATCCCTGCCTGCCCGCTGTGTACGAGTAGATACCTATTTTCAATTATATATATCTCGAAAACTAACTTATAAACAAACATTTGCTAAAGGAATAATTATCTTAAAAATCGCTCAATATGACATTTTATGGACATTGTTTTGTATCACTCTGTGTACATAATGTTTTGATGCCATGTTTCTCATAGAAGCTTCCTGTTACCTACCTTTAGGGGATCAAGTATTTTTAATTGAAACTATAACACTCATATATTCAAAAGCTTTAAACATAGGATACCATGCTACATAATTTATTTCTCGTGATAAAAATGCAGATATTTCCCAAAACGTAATGTAATCAAGTTGTCTACGTGTAAGGAAGTAAAACGCATCATCTATGATTTGAGCTCGATTGAGAACATGAATGTCGACATATTTCACAGAATTCATGTATTGTGCAAGATTAAGCCAATTTTCAGTATTATAATTAACACGATAATACCCTGTTATAAAAAGAAAGTTTTCATCATTAATGTTTCTTGATAGAATTGATAAAAAAATAGTTTTTAAATAATTTTTATTGTTTTTTGTGAGAAACATTTTCTCAAATTATTTATTTTTTAATAAAATATTTTACAATTGGTTTGAAAAAGTGTAGAAATAATTATCGTGTGAGAATGTTTGTTGCAAGCATGAATGACACGTACTCTTGCCAGTATGCGAGTGCGTGTGTCAGAAGCATCAGGGTGTAAAATTAAAAAAGCAAAAAAGATACGAAGATAAAATATAATAAATTTAATGATTTATATTTACCTGTTTGTTGTAAATTGACTATAATCCAATCATTCTTATCAAACTTTTGCTTTAATCCTTTCGGCTTTTGTGGTGATAGCCAAAAGGATTTATTGGCAAAAATATCGTGAAAGTTTATTTCTGATTTTGTCGTATACGTCACGAATGCTGAAAGATGTTCTGTATCCTCGTCAAAATCAAGAGTGAGATATCGGAATATTGTATTATTAGACAAATAATTTCGTGTTACGTACAGTACAGGATATTTTTCCGCTATCCAAACAGATATAAGTCTGTTTACAATAAATGCGGTTGAGTTATTTGGTATAATAGTTTGCATCATGTTCCATAAATCATTTGTTTGATTATATCTATAAAATGGAAAATTTTTATTAAAGTGTACATTGTGCAAATTAAAAAAAAAATGTTTTGCTTGCGATACTCCAAATTACTATTTAGTATATTAAAATATTAACACTTTCGCGGCCGCTCACATATTTTTACGTTCATGATTCGATACAAGTCAGGAGCCAGTCACGTAATTATAAGTTTAATGTTTTTTGCATCATAATATTAGGTCGTGTAATACAAAATATTGAATTTTGCATCGGTTCAATATAATAGAGCGTCTCTTCAAGCGTTGTGCACAAGCGAATATATAACGGTCGCGAAAGTGCTAATTTATATGTTTGTTTAATTAGTAATTAGTAATATATTTGTGTAAAGGATAATATATAGGACATATCTTTTCGGATTTGAAAAGTTTCTTTATCTAGTCTGACTTTTGCAATAAATTAAACTTGTTTTTAAAATTGTAGATAAAAATTATTACCTATCGAAATATCTTATTTTTTACATTTTCAGTTATATTTTATATAACCTGAACTTATAATTATATTAATAAATTTTGACTATAATATAAAGAATAAAAGTTTCTTTATCTGTATATGTATATGTTAAATATTAGTTTTCAAAGGACTGTGAAAGTCAATTGGATAGAACTTCAAAAATCAATTTCGGTTTACATAAATAAAAATAATAGTATTTTGATTTTAGAAGATAGATAGATCAATAAATAGATAGACTGATAGAGCGAAAGAGGGAATAGTGGGGGCATCAAAATTGATATAGGCCTCCTAAAGTAACATATTTCTCAGAATTGAAAAGTTACGTTTTATTACAACAAATTTAAATAATATAAACGTGATGTGTTCAATTAGTTAATTTATTAAAAATCCATAGTTTGTACATATTCCTTGTTTATTTATATACTACATCAGCTTGTATCAAATTCTTTAAGTCCGAAATCTCTGTTTCTATAACATTTTTGCATAATTTTTTAATCTAAATAACAATTATATTTTTTTATAATATCAAGTTATTTTACATGCTTGTGTAGCTTTCTAAAAGTCTTTTTACTTTTGCTTTCGTTTTTATTGCTTTTCTCACGGTACGATTTGGAGGATTTTATTAGGATGTATCGAAAACCGTCATACTCTACAGTGGGCGATTTATTGATACGTAAATGTATATAAATTGACATACATAAATTCCATTTTAAAAACAAAGAATTAAATTATATCTATCTAGTTTTGTATAAATGCTTTGTACACAAAAAGTAAATGGCATTATTATATTATTAATGTATTAAGGACGTTACATATTTCTTATGTATTGTAATAAAAAAAATTTGGAATCAATTTGTAATATTAAACAACTTAATACATTATTAAATAATTTACAGCAGTACATTTTTATATTTCTAATTAGTTCTATAATTTTCAGTAGATTCGTTAGTTTTAGAACTCAATTTTTTCGGGCTTTCTTTTCGTGTGTTTCGAGAAACGTTAATTTCTTAAAAATTTGAAACAATAATGTTAAAAGTATAAGACCGTTTAATAGAGAACAGTATCTAGTGTATAAATTTTTATTTTGTGTTTTTAGCTAAGAGATAATTTACAAAAACAAAATATATCAGTTTTGATGTCTTTTTTTGAAAATCAACGTTATGTTGTTTACAGTTTTAAAGATTTAAGATAACTTCTTAAGATAGGTTTAAAGGAGTTTATAATTAAAGAAGTTAATAACACTTATAATGAAAAGGAGTTTATAATTAAAGGAGTTAATAACATTTCTAATGGAAAGGCTCATATGATAACTATCAAATAATATAATAGAAGAGCATTAAGAGCCGTTGCAGGATGTTAGTACGAAATTTTTAATTTTGCTTAAAGAATTTAATTAATTAATCTACATGAGACAGTTAAATTGTACACCGATCTCAGATCGAGATACTTAAAGTGTACGAAAACTTAAGTACATTGTTCTCACATATTGAAAATCATAATGTACCGATAGGAATTATTGGGAAGAAAGTAACTAACATCCTGCGACAGTTCTTAATGCTTTTATATTTATACTTTTGGATAGTAGAATTTTAAATACGTCTCCTTTCTCCAATATCCAATTTACGTTATAATTATCTAGCAAAAGAGATAAATAAATATTACTTACTGTTTGTTATTAACATATGTGCGGATTCCAGTCCAAAACATATCAGGAGTTATCAAACGGTGTAACATGCGCCATATATTGGATGCTGAAACAATTAAAATTAAAATGTGCTTATTAAGTACTTTGAAATACATATTTTTTAAAAGTTAAGATATATTTTTTTTATAATGAAATTTATGAATGTCAGTACATTGTACTTTAATTTGTGTGTTAAAGACATAAATGAGATTTTGTATGTTAAGATTGCTGGTAACTGTCAGAGGGACATCGATATATGATAACGTGCGTTTTGTTTAACTGAACAGTGTTTTCAAATTTATTCGTTTTGAGTTCAACGTGCCAGAACAATTTATTGGTATTCAACCTTTCGGCTTTTCTATCGATTTGACAATTTTGGCGCGACTGTCGTCAGTATCGGCAAAGAGATTGCACGAAAGATTCGAAATTACACAGACTTGTTTCACATTGTTGTATTGGAACCAATACGGGCTGACAGCTCGATATAATAACCAAATATGGTAATGTCTCCCGTTTGTTGACATCCTTACACAATTAAACGTACATATATATGCTCGAGTTTATCCGTCGAGGGATGGACAAGATATTCTCAAAGAAAACCAAAACACAACCAATCAATTAAACAAGCAACATAATTAAAATCAAACAAAATAAATTTATGCAGGTAATTTTACAATTAATATAGCTGGGTACTTCAATTTCTTAGCAACGAGGCAGACTGTAATCTATTTCGTAACATTGTGTGTAGTTCAAATTTTTATTTTCTTTTATAAAATTTAAAAATTTGCATATTATTCAACAGTATTATTTAATTATATTTACTTTAACCATTTCTAGACTTTTAGATATATTTTGCTAACTTACGTTTCACATGATTTAGATGATAGCTAAGTGAATTCGTTTTGATTGCATCCGAAGCAGTATCAAAGAGAAAAGATTCCCGTTGTGTTTCGGTGATAAATAAATTTATTATGTCATAATTCGTAGGAATCTGAAAAGTTTAAAGTAATGAAATAAATATTTAGTCAAAATATTGTATTTGAAACAATACATCACCGTTGATTGTTGCAAATAAACTTTTGATTTTTATCATGAAATGTATTATTTATTACATAGTTATTAAAGAAAGAAATTTAATGAATACAACGCAATTTGTTAATATTCATGTATGTCAAACAGAACAAACGCTTAACAGATTTATTTACTTATTGGAAAATTGATGTATGTATTTAGTCGTCACTTTATGATTAAAAGCTTTGAACAATATAAAAAGTTATTAACAATTAAAATTAGTATTTAAAATAAATATTCCTATAATTTTTCCTGCTCTGGAGTATTGAGAAAAGGTTATATGTTGTCATCATGTAGGAAATCTTTTTTTTTTTACTTGTGTTATAAGAATAATATAAAGTACGCAGTTTCTGTTACAAATTCATAACGTCATATGTTGCTACATGAATTTCTTTATTTGACAATAATGAAAATCTAATCATATATTTGTATCAAATGCAACATAAAAAATTATGTGCCCTCGGTCTCAAAAAGTAACATCTATGCATACATATATACAAATTATAAATCATCGTCACTTGTTTTACAGGATGCGGGAATAATTATTACAAACAAGTGCGAAGATATAAGAGGGAAAGAGGCTCCGAGCTCAATTCTTCTCAGAAAAATATAGAGATTGTATAGGGGATAAGACTTTCTTGAGGGTGCAGAAAGAGAAAGGCAAAGCTCCTTTTCCGCCACGCGTTTAATTTATTATGTTTAAATAAATAAATCTGCTAACAGTAAGAGTTTATTATATTGATATAGTTGGTGTCATAAAATTACGTCTCATTCCGTAAACTTTTTATGTTAATAACTTTTTAATAAATAAAATAATAAATAAATAAATAACGAGTGACGAAAACTTTTTTCTTTTTACTCAATGTCAGAACAATTGGCGTTGGTAACGTATATCAAAGTCAAGACGATTGTAACTGTTTATGTAATCTAAATGATTACCAAATGTATATCAGTTATAAGAATTTAAAACAACGTGATATAAGATATACCTGATATAAGATGTACGTTGCAAGCAATGTAGCGAAACCTGTTTTCGACCATAGCAACACATCATTATACCAAAGAGATACTATATGATTTGTTATAAGACGTGCCACTTTCAATTTATACCCAACGGAATCTAAGTCTTCGACATGAATATCAGCTTCTCTGAAAAATGATTTCAAATATGAAAAATTCATGGACAATGATTGCTGTAATTAAACAATTTATTAAGTCTTTATATTGTAGATGTATCAAATTATTACAAAGCCATTAAGAAGTTTTTTTAAATTGTTTGCAAAAATGTATTTAAGATTTTTTGTACTTAATCTCATAACAAATAGAAATAAAGTAACTTTTGACAATTTTGAGATAGTTGGTATTCAAGATTTAATAATGTAACTTATTTTGCCATTAAAACGACGTAATAATAACTGTTTTCTTAACAGTTACATACAGACTTTATTTCAAAAACTGGAAAAAAGATATTTTGTACATTTTGTATAAGTAATTTCATGGATGAAAAAGAACATTAGAATTTGGAACACAAAAACTCAGATGAGTTTCGACAAAATAACTGATATAATAAGAGATTTTATAGCAGTCATTTTATTCGTACAACTTAAAACACACACAGTTATTTTTCATGTTTCTAAATCTAAAGCTACACTAAAGTCTGATTTCACGTAAAGAATGATTATTTCAATTTCTAATCTGAACTAAAGGTAATGATATCTGCTTAATGTGACGCAAATAAAATTGTATAGATTTTGACTATTTCCTAATTTATATATATTGATATAAAAATATGAATATTTTCCAGTTTTAAAATTTTATTATTTGATGGTTTTATATCTTTTATTTAATAATAATTTTTGATTAATTCATTTTAGTTTTGAATATTACCTTTGTAAAATTAGTGTCCATGGCTCAGTGATATCCTTTTGAGTATCCCAAAGTACAATATAATCTATTTTTGTTATTTTTTCTATATTATTTTCATGTTTCAAAAAGTGTAGGACTTGTTGGGCAATACATATTGCAAATTTTAAATAGTTTGTTACATTTCTTGTACTCCAAAATGTGACATTTTCAACCGAAGTAGAAATATTAGTGGATGTGATTATCACAACTTTTAAATGTTGAATCGACATAGAAGGTGATTTCTCAAAATGTGTCCACATCATGTCATGTTTGTCATTTTCTGTTGTTTGTATAGGCATATTTGATAAAGCTGTGTAATTTTTATGATGCTTGATGGAAATTTTATAGGTCGCATTGAATGTTCTCTTGTCCCAGCATGGAAATAGTTGTCGAGCAGTCTTTACATCAACACCTGTCGCATTTAACCTGTCATATTTTAACAATATAGTATTTATAAAATTTTGAATATAATTATTCTTAAGGATCAACTAAGGATAGACTAAAAAGTATTGGGTTTTAGAAAAATTGAATCATAGTTCAACATTGTACAGAATGTACCAATTTGACAGATATTTCTACATCATAAAATCGACAAATTTGAAGTGCAGTGATGAATTCATTTGAGTGCTATTATGACTATTTTAAGTAATACGCAATTTTCGGAATGTCATCTGGTTTATGAATGTACTTAATAAATATATTTTGCAAAGAATATTAACGAAAATAAGCTTTATAATATAATTTTTATTAAAGTATTTTTTTTAACTTACAGTTTGTTGTCCAGTTTTCTATTTGAGTATAAAGATTTATAAAAGTGTTTTTCGTTATTTTTTATGTCACGCATATATGTCAGTATTAGAGTGTATATACCAGCCGGTAAATATTTTGGAAATTTTGGGTCCTTGGTAAAATGGATCATAAACATATTTAATTCATTATTAAATAAATATTTTGGAACGTAAACTTTTTTACTATGATGGGTGTCATACAAAACAATTTTTATTACAGCAAAAGTCACTAGATGCATAGATATATTTTTTGTTTCACGAGTAATATGTATAAGTATGCTACATTTACCAATAACATAATTTATTTTGTAGTCAAATTTTATATTGACATTATAATGCAATGGTATTATGTAATCTGGTAAATGGTAACGACCTGTAGTGTCATTTTCGGTATTGATAGCAGTGCAAATTGCTATTGTAGCGATTAACATTATTTCGCCATTTGTTAAAAGCTTTCGGAATATTATATTCATTTTTCTTTATGTACAAAAAAATTGTCTGAAAAAAGTATTTGTTGGCAGTAAAACATATACATTTGCAACACATAATTTTTAATTTAAATATAACAGAAAAGCACATAATAACGATTAGAATTTAGACTGAAAAGATATAGAAAAAAACCGTCATACACTAAAAGAAAAGTATATCATGTTTTGGACTATAATTACATGGTACTACAATTATAGTTACGATACTCATTTTTATAAAAATCGTTAGTATAATGTTAGCAATAATATTTGTATACGTATAATATTGTAAAATATATAGCCAATTACACAAGGTGGTCCATTTTAATCAACTAGAATATCTCAAGTCTTTATTTCAATTCAAACAATTTTAAGGGATCTTGACCTGACCTTGAGGGTCCCGTTTGGATACAAATTTTTTGCCAATAATATCGATTGCCGACATCTCGTTTGTTCATATTTTGTTTGCAAACCAAAAATTATTACCTACAGTACGATTGCCTACAAAAGTTAGGAACTGAACGCACGTTTGCACACATGTCACAATTTCGGACAAACTATATTGCACATAACATTATTGTCTACGGATTGATTGTTTACCAGCTCTAACGCACAAATAAAAGTTAAGAGACGAATGCACGTTTCCAAACTGTGTCCTCCTCCTGATCTTAAGGACATTTTCTTAAAGTCAACCAAGGTTACCACCTTCTTTCTCTTTAGTAACTGAGCAACTTTGATTAAAAACATTTTTGTCTTAAGCTTATAGATTTTAAGATATTTTAATAGATTGATTACAATGGACCAACCTGTAAAATTATTATAGAACATTTAGAAAAATATTTGACGCCAAAAAGCATCATTGATTATGGTTACTGCTATTGTTCTTTTCTTTCAGTGCAAAATAAAGTAAAAAAAAACATGGAAAAGTAAAATTCATAAAATTTGTCTGATGAATGTTTAGAAAGATAGTATAATAATATTGTATGTATATACATAACGTATGTATATACATGAGTAGTTTCACGGAGTGTTATAAAAAATAATAAATATTTAAAAATGCCTGTTAGAATACAAAAATATAACAAAAACGAAATTATAACTGAAAGTGTCACTAAGCCGAGAAACATTAAAATATCAAATTATTATCCTTCTAACCAATTATGATATCTATTCTCTCAGATGCACGCGCGCACACACACAAGGTTAATTGTCACTTTGCAGAAATGGTGATTAATCATTACACATGAAGAGACTCATACTGTACAACAGTGATGAACAACGCGCGGCTCGCGGTCAGCATGCGGCCCTCCAATTACTTATTTGCAGCCAGCCAAAACGTTGCACTTTATTTTGGTAAATTTAAAAATTTTAGCAAACATACCTCTTAATATTGAAAAGCTTGTTGATGAAAAATAGAGTCAAATATTTCATTAATTAAACACCAACTACATATTTAATTTTTCCCGATAAAAAAATTTATATATGTACCTATACCTCTGTATACATATATTAAAAATATAACTAATAAAAAGTAAATCAAATGAAAAGAAAAGTTTCACTGTCGAAATTAACAAATTCCACCCTATAAATTAAATTTTTTTTTATTACACAATATATTGAAGTATTTAATATTGCGTTCGTTGCGGCCCGTATGGAATATTAGGTTTTTAATTTTGGCACACTGCAGAACAAAGATTGCTCATCTCTGTTGTACCAAATAAAAAATGTAAAAGTAAAAAGAAATTAGAGACACAGTTTCTTATTCAGAAAAAGATTTGAGAAAATAAAGTTGTATTTATCGTGCTTTATTTGCTTTTAAATTTTTCTATATTTTAAAATAGAAATAGAATATTATATACGGTCACTTACCTACATATATTAAAATCGTCAATTTAAATGCAATGCAACGTGAAAATTTACAATTTTGTAATAATAATACAGTTAACATCACCTTACACACAAATCGTGAATGCCGAAGCTATATAAATCAAACTGCGATTCAGTTAGCTCCGAGAAGACTCTGAATACTAAGAAGCATATTCGTAACTGATATAATATATATGTTATGTCACGCAAACAGTTGCTAAGAGGTCACCCAACGGGAAAACACTTTACTAAACGCTAGAAGAGCACAGAAATTAAAATACATAGTCAGTTAAATTTGCGTCTAGAAACCGAAATTGTACAGTTTTTAGTTACTGACAAACAAAATTGTTAAAATAAAATACTTATAAATATATAGAAAATATTAATTTTACGTGTAAAATTGTATTAAATTGTTATGCAGTCAAACATTTAAGATTTTAAATGTAATGGTACAAATTTGTGCAATCTACAGCAGTGAAATATGAGAGATTTACTAAACTGAAAATAAGTAATTGAGTTTAAATTTAAATAATATTAATGTTCTATATTAATAGTTTTTACGTTTTGTGAAAGCTTATATAATAAAATTATTTATAAGAAAATAAATTAAAAATGCAAAAAACAAATTTCCTAATTATAAATTTGTAATAATTGCTATCATATCTGTTAAAAATTTCTATTACATATTAACATGACTATTACATTTGAGTCTAAGATATTATCTTGAAATGTTTAATTTTGAGAAGTAGTAAACAATTCTACCATTTTACTAAAAATGTATCGCAATATTGTAATTACTTTTTATTTACTAACATAGCAGTATTATTTAGTAACAGCGCTCGGAATTAGTTGTCACATTTCGGGTCCCGGATTTCCGTAGACGACGCCTTCTGTTCCCCACTACCGTCCGGCCGTTGGCGGCCGAGCC